GTGGCCTAGTACTGCCGACCGACGCGCAGACACTCCGCGGACGAACAAATGACGACGTCGGCCACGATTTTACCGCTTCGGAAAGGAACTCACGGGGAGAGGCTCACCTTTCCTTTCCGTTGCCTTGAGAAGAGGATTCCGGAGGAAGTTGGCAAAGTCCTTGTTCTCCTTTATCATGCCCTGCAAAAACGAAGCGAGTTTTGACACATCACGGGAACAGAAGGGGCTCGGCACGAGCGTGACGTCACGGGAACGATGGGGACTACGTAAACGTGTGACGTCACAGGAACAACGGGACTATTTACAACTGTGACATCACAAGAACACGGGTTTCAGTACGCGTGACATCACAGGCCGAGGAGGCTTGGTAAGAGTGTGACATCACAGGACCACAGGGTTTCAGTACGCGTGACATCACCAGACCTGCCAACCCCATCTGATGATCATCAGTAATAATGATTGGATTTTTCCGTAACAAATAGGCATTTGTCAGTAACACCTGTGATTTAATTTATCTCTCACGGTGATTGGCTGAAAATAGCCTTCAGTGCAGTACTACTATTCCTGGATCCGTGACGTCATTCAAAATGGCTGCGCCCATAAACCAGACAGACGAGCGCATAACACAACATAATTTACCATTTTCAGTGAGTACCGTTACGTTTTAAGAGCTATTAGTCTAAATCTACAGACACAGTAGTCATGTTACATGATAATAGTTGATTTTACACTGTGTTTATTGCTTTTTTTTGCATTAAAAAATATAAATTTCAGAGATTTCTTGCTGTCCGTAATTTTTCGAGGTCGTCCGTAACACCGTAATTTTGACTCGCGTCCGTAACAAATTACGGGCAATACGTAACAGTTGGCAGGTCTGTCATCACAGGCCGAGGAGGCTTGGTAAGAGTGTGACATCACAGGACCACAGGGTTTCAGTACGCGTGACATCACAGGACCACGGGGGGGGGGAGGGGAGCAGTGCGTGTGACATCGCATGCAACAAAGGCTCAGTAAGACCGTGGCACCACAGGAACAACTACAGAAACTCCTGTCGATCGGTATTTACGACTTACTTAACGACTGCTCAGACCGTTATTCGTAATCGTTTCGTTCGTAGCCAAGCGCGCGAAACAACTCACCGAGACGGCCGTTAGATCCTTCTCGACGACATCCAGTTTCTTTTCCTTCACCGCCGCACTGTAGAGGGCGTGAGCATAGCGACCTTCCAGTCCGAACACCTGAATCGGTGCCTAAAACAGATAGCGGGAGAGGGACCATATTACAAGCGAGTATTGCGGGAGTGCAGAAAAAATATTTGGGAGTGCAATTTTACAAATGTACACGGCTTTAGATCAATATTTTAGGCCGTGCTTCACATTTTTGGCCGTGCCGTTTCAAAACTGACCGTGCAAATCACGGCTGCCTCGGCTCGCTGGCTAATACGTTGATTACCAGCTGATATTATTACAAGATTACAATGATACCCGCACGCATGCAGGATGTGAATTTCGTGCAAAAAGTGCGTTCGAACAAACAAAAATGACAACTTTAACAAAACAGCCTAACCAAAACGAATACGTGAAAAGTGAAAACTAGCGTAAACTCAAGCTACAGCACAAACTTACGGAACGTGTTCTCCGTCAGATTGGACACGCCCATCTTCTTCAAGATCTCCGTCATGACGGCTGCCGTGGAAACGAAACAAACGAGCATTAGATCATCAGGTCGTAGCGACGGGCGAATCAGGGACCGGGCGCCATTGTTTCCCTTAGTATCGTACAGTGCTACCGTACGTTATACTATATGGATTATGGATCAGGGTAAAAAATACACGGGAGCGACGAGCGATTCGCTCTTCAAACCTCCGAAATCGCTCCAGTGAGGCTCAAAATAGCTCCCGTAAAAATTTTTTACGAGAGCTATTTTTTCCACAAACTTGAAAAAGAGCTCCAGTGAAAAAAAATGTTATTTTTCCCTGATATGGATTCACCCCAGGTTTAAAAATTAAGGGCAGCAAGCAGCAGTTTTGCCGCCTACAAGGGTCAGTTTGCCGCCTACAAGGGTCAGTTTGCCGCCTACAAGGGTCAGTTTGCTGTCTACAGTGGCCAGTTTGCTGTCTAAAAGTGTCAGTTTGCTGCCTACAAAGTACAAGGGTCAGTTTGCTGTCTACACTACAGTGGCCAGTTTGCTGTCTAAAAGGGTCAATTTGCCGCCTACAAGGGTCAGTTTGCCGCCTACAAGGGTCAGTTTGCTGTCTACAAGGGCCAGTTTGCTGTCAAAAAGGGTCAGTTTGCCGCCTACAAGGGCCAGTTTGCCGCCTACAAGGGCCAGTTTGCCGCCTACAAGGGCCAGTTTGCCGCCTGCTTCCAACGTCGCCAGCAAATACTCGCTGCCAGGAAATACCTTATAAACCTTTCATCCTAATAAAGCTGATCTCAGTTAGATCCAAATTAAGTTAAAAATAACTTACACAGACAAAATTTCCCTTATTTTTAACTTAATTTGGATCTAACTGAGATAAACTTTATTAGCATGTAAACTATATAGATCCGATGAAATTATTCAATACCTTATAAACCTTTAATTCCTAGTAAAAGCACCGAAGATTCCCGGTAAGAAATTTAATTTCAAACCCTGACCTTCTGTGTCTGTAGCATCAGTTGTGTGTGAGTAAATTTGCTGCCTGCTTTTTCCACTGTCAGCAGCAAGCAATTCCAGCCCGATACAAAAGTTAATTTCTAGGGCCTAAGATAAAATATTGCTTGTTTCCCCTTTACCGACCGACTCGCCAAAATGCCGCTACTCGACACATTTTATTGGGCGATTAAAAAAAAAATAATCAAATTCGTTCCACAAAAACATATACACAAAACAGAATATACAATATACATACACACATCTTGTCAAAACAAAATAAAAAACAATTTTCACCTACCTACCTACTCGGTATCCTGAGAGGCGAGTAGGTAAAGGGGAAACAAACAATTTTTTAAAGGTGGACCTAGTACTGCCGACCGACGCGCAGACACTCCGCGGACGAACAAACGACGACGTCGGCCACGATTTTCCGCTTCGGAAAGGAACTCACGGGGAGAGGCTCACCTTTTCTTTCCGTTGCCTTGAGAAGAGGATTCCGGAGGAAGTTGGCAAAGTCCTTGTTCTCCTTTATCATGCCCTGCGAAAACGAAGCGAGTTTGTGACACATCACGGGAGCAGAAGGGGCTCGGCACGAGCGTGACGTCACGGGAACGATGGGGACTACGTAAACGTGTGACGTCACAGGAACAACGGGACTATTTACAACTGTGACATCACAGGAACACGGGTTTCAGTACGCGTGACATCACAGGCCGAGGAGGCTTGGTAAGAGTGTGACATCACAGGACCACAGGGTTTCAGTACGCGTGACATCACCAGACCTGCCAACCCCATCTGATGATCATCAGTAATAATGATTGGATTTTTCCGTAACAAATAGGCATTTGTCAGTAACACCTGTGATTTAATTTATCTCTCACGGTGATTGGCTGAAAATAGCCTTCAGTGCAGTACTACTATTCCTGGATCCGTGACGTCATTCAAAATGGCTGCGCCCATAAACCAGACAGACGAGCGCATAACACA